TGCTTCATGGCATTGCTCGGTATTGTTTCATCTCCTTTCTCTCAGCCCTGACTCGCTCTAATTCACGGCATTGTTCAGTACTGTTTCGCCTCCTTTCTCCAGCCCTCGCCGCGCCTGCTCTCTTTCGCGATCTATTCCTGTTACTAGAAATTCTTACTCCCGATTGTTTTCTTTCACGTTCTGCCTCAGTTGAACCCTCTCTTGAGAACATTGCATTATCAACTCCACTATCGTTTGTTGACATAACATAATAGCATGCAATGAGTTTTCATCCCGCCAAGAAAAGATGGCATTCTTGTGCTCCCCTCCCACTCCCCCAGAGTCTGTGCGAACGGACGGACGGGCATCGCTTCCACGGTGACGTCATAACCAAATTTACTCGGCTTGATGGGTTACCAAAATTTCGAAGGAATGGATGCTCCGCTGTGCGCCTTCGGCGCGCAGGAGCTCCGCTAAAAAAACGAAGCAAACAACGAAGTAACTGAAACGGTTCCAACTTGTACGTTTATTCTCCTCGCGAAGACGGTATGCGAATATACGCTTACAACACGATCTCGATAATACGACAGATCAAAAACAAAAGGCTCAAAATACAAAATCTCGTATTACATGTCAATTGTTAACTCGGGTAACACAACGTGTCACGATCACGCAACTACTAGTCTCTTAACAGGTCCAGTTGCTTGGACTGCGATGTTGCTGCTGCCACAGCTTTGGTTTCTGGTGTAAGTTTCTGTATCATTTAGGTTTTTTAAGGGGTAGGGTTGTCAGCCCCACGCTCAACCCCCAACCTGGAGGAGCAGGTTGGGGGTTGAGCGTGGCCCCTCACCCTAGACCTGTCCAACTTTTCATGAACCTGCCGGATGCATGAAATCCCTAGCTGGCATAGCTCCAGGGGTCTTAAAGGCATGCAGCTACCACACAAAGGCAAAGGAATAGACACAATAGTGACGGCACGAAAAAATGCTATGTCCTTTAATCACAAAAATCACAAATTTAATTCAAAGAAAATCATGTGACAAGGTCTCAGCAAGAAGCATATGTAGTTAGTCAACACTAACATAAAAAAGGCATAAAATGACAAAACAAGACAATATCTGAAACTGCAGCAAAGGGTGTTGCTTAAAAAAAAAAACCTGTCGTGGGTCTGTCACTCTGTACCAAGGGGCTTTAAAGCGTAAATTCAGTTTTGGGTGCCCGCTAAAAGGGGGTTAAGACAACAGAAACCCCTGTTCCGGACGACCAAAAAGTGGCCTCGGCTGCTTAATAGAGGTGGCCGATTCAAGGGGTTTTATTTCTAATATGTATATTTATTTCGAATGTTGAAATTCGTAGGGTGCAAATGGACGCAGAGACAAAACAAGTAAGTTCATGGTTTTACCCTGTGTATCATGAAGGTTCTATAAGAGATATCAAATAAATTTTAACGCTAGATAATCTTAGCCGAGAACTTGAATATCACATTTAGAAAAATACTTTTATTGTTTTTGTTTCAATGGTACACTCTCAATCTTGACGGGTATCATTTAGTTGTGTTTCGTAAGGAACACAACGAAAAAAAAAGGTGAAGTCTGAATGGGAGTCAAGTGGCCCATCAGGCCAAAGCTTATCCCGGCTTCTGCAGCATTAAGTGACTAGGAGTATTTCTAATCCTCCCTGTTTGGGATGCTAGTCCATCGCAGGGTTACCCCCAAACACCAGTGCCTCGCTTTATTTTTTAATTTATAACTTTTTGTTATAGTTGTAACCGTCACTTGTGGAGATGTATGTTGTAACATACGAAACGTCAAGTTAATACAGTAAAGTTTTTTAGACCATGCGTTGTCTATTTGTAATGTTTCTAACCGCTGTTTGTGGCCGAAGAACAGGAATATTTATAAATGAACGTGTTTTGGACTCCTGGTCTGAATTCTTGGAAAGAGGCAATCTGGAATGGACTAGTATTCTCTCCGTCACTCCATCATGCTGTTTGCAACGGCTCTGATCATTCATGATTTTACACAGAAACATAAATTAATAATTTGCTCTTGATTTTTTAAGCCACGTTTCGTGTATGTCCCTTATGGAGACTCGGGTTCAGGCTACTACAGCAAAAAAGCACGTCATACTTCACCTAGCATCGCAGCAATCAGTCCTGTTATTCTAGAATCCTTGCAGTCCATTCCACTGAACGCTCGATCCATGTTTACTATTGCTGACTATGGCTGTGCGGATGGAGGAACATCTATGTCTCTGATTTGCGCCTGCATCAAGAAACTTAAGGAAATCCATGGTGATGAACTGGAAATAAATATACAGTATGAAGACCAGCCATTCAATGACTTCAAGTCACTGTTTAGCTTCGTCCAAGGTAACGCGATCAGTAAGCTGAAGTTAAACAATTTGCCTCTAAAAGGAGTTTAAACTCCTTTTAGAGATGAACATTGTTGTCTCTAGGAGGCTCCTCCATTTTGACTTTGGAAGACGAAAATGTAAAATGAAAAAAAAAAAATCAGGGAAAAAAACGCTCAAAGGTGGGCAGGGGTATTTTGCAGAACGCCGAACGCCAAACGCACTGTTTGCTTGCGGTTTAGCAGTTTCACTCATGTTTGCTTGCGGTTAGCTTTTGTTTGTTAAGGACAGCATTATATTGCATATGGCCCTTTCCAACAAATAAAAGCTAACCGCAAGCAAATATAAGTGAAACTAACCGCAAGCAAACAGTGCATTCGGCGTTCGGCGTTCGGCGTTCGGCGTTCGGCGTTCGGCGTTCGGCATTCTGCAAATTACTCCTGCCGCTCAAAGGTATTCATATGCATGTTAATTTTGATGCAAAAATTACTCCAAATCTTCACTGTCTGTCTTCACTGTGGAACTGACCTTTTCTTTGAGCATTCGTTTCATTTCGAAGGCTTAGTCCCTCGGTATAACAACGCCATTTTGTGTAAACTTTCCAATTGACCACTTAGAACATAATGGTCCTGGAAATGACTCCTCACAATCGATCAAAGTCACGTGATAAACTTACTGGGAACCTAACTGAAGGTGCTGGGGTCTTGGTTATCAGTTAAATTTCCGTCAATTTTTCAGCTATCATTATCCCGGCTAACTTTCTGTTACAGCTCTCTAGAATAGCAGCTGAAAAAAAAGATGAGGAACCCCGAAACTTTGTAAGTTCCCTGTTCTTTATTTTCCTTTTGTTTATTTCCAGGTCTTATTCCGGAAACACCAAGTCCTTTAAACTCATTTTCTAATGTCTACGTGACAGCCTGTGGAACTGAGTTTTATCAACAGTGTTTCCCGAGCCATTCTGTAAATCTAGCCTTGTGCTTCTTTGCTGCACAGTGGTTGAGTGAAAAACCATGTGATCCAATTGACTCGTGTTTTCACCTGACGTCCAACGATGAAAAGGCAAAGGATATTTTCTCAAAATATGCTGCTCGTGATTGGGAAACATTCCTTCTTCTTAGAGCAACAGAGCTATCACCAGGTTAGCTATTATAATAATTAATGTACTTTACAGTTGTTTGACCTTTAATTAGCATACCGTACCTCGCTGATAATTACAAAAGTGCGGCGAATTTTTTTTATAATTTTTCCGATAAATTCTCATTAGAGGTTTTAAAGTTTATAGTTTATAATGATAACTGCTTTCTGTTTATAGTCAAGACAAAGGAAAGGTTGTAAGCTTTGACTGAATAACGAATGTAATTATCTTGTGCCGGAACGAAACTCGCACAGAGTTGAATATAGCTTATGCTAACACTGCCTCGCTCGCAGGCTTCTTTTATTTGCAAGATGAAAGGCGGGACGGGGAACTCGGGGCATGATAGTTTAGTCAGACCCTCTTATTTTCTTGAGTTCGTCGAGATCGCAAGCAAAATATTACCGTGGGGGCAATGAACGAGCCAAAACGCAGTGGTCTGGTCCTCTCGCGTTCCGCGCTTGCAATTTAAACGGCTGTTGAGAGACTATGATAGATAGGCCAGTCTTGCAACAGACTCACCGCGTTTCAACCAAGGAGCAACTTAAAGAACGAGGCTAATGTAAACATGTATGAATTGCTTGAAGCCCATACCGTTCTGAGATTCGACATGTAAAACCCGCCAAAGACGAAGAAGTTACCCGCAGTAGCTTCAGAATGCTGCCCGTTTCTTTGGAAAGTTGTACATTTCATTGCCAAAGTTGACTCGAGACGACTTTTCGTTGTTTCGGAAGGTGGGAAATTGGCCGTAATTATGTCAGCAATTGGGGAAGACGGGCAATGGCTGGGAAACACGAAAGAAACCAAGGTCCCCTTTGCTGATGCCATGTACCAAGTGTGGAAGACTATGGCAGATGAAGGAATCATTACAAAGGTTTGTAACGTTGCTGTTTACAAAATGAGAAACATGAAACGAAAGGTTCCGCACCCGCTAAACTAGTGTCTATGGTCGTTAATACTTTCAACATAGCATGCCAGTACACAGTACAATAATCTTTGAAAATTGCTATGTTATATCATTTTGTTATTCAAAGGCCGAAGTCAAGCAGACTACTTTTGCGGCGTATATTCGTTCGAGAAAAGAAATAGTGCAACCTTTCTTATCAGTGGAATCACCTGTGAGGAAAGCGGGGTTTTCTCTTCTGTCATGTGACGTTTTGTCGTATCCTCGTCAACAAGCCACTGGGGATGTAAAGATGGACGCTAAGAAATTAGTTGACGGGGTGCGTGTCTGGAGCAATCACACGATGATGTCAGGTAACATCTGCAAAATATTTATAATTTGCCACAGTAAGGAAACTGTAGACGGTGCATGTTGGAAGCAGTGTGTTTTTTCTCCAGGGAAATCGTTCCCAAATCTCACGGCCTTCGATTTCATTTACCTTACTTGGTGTTTGTTCCAGGCTGCCTAAACGTATTGATGCTTTGCAGCTAATCCCGAGAAATTCAAATGACAAAGGCCTGGCGGCCATGTTGGATGACAGTAATAGAGGAAACCAGTTACCGGACATCTATTGTTAATGTCGTCCAATATGGCGGCGATGACGTCATGTAATAATCAAGAATGAATTGAAAATGTTTTTATCATAGAGGATGACTAGGAAAAACGAAAATTTGAAATAATAATAGTAACAATAATAATAATTATTATAATAATGATGATGATGATGATTTTGATGATGATTTTGATGATGATGATGATGATGATGAGGATGATAATGAGGATGATAATGATGATAATGATCTTCATTTATACAGAGCCATTTCTACTGATTAACCAACTGCACTACTTAAATTTACAAACATGATAATAATTTGCTAACGGACAAACCGATAAAAAAAGTTACAAAAAAGAGAGAAGATCAAAAAGAACGGCTAAATAAGAGAGTTGTAAGTTTGCTTTTAAAAGTACTAAGCAGGCTGTAGTTCTGATATTGTCAGGTAAGTTGTTCCATAGAAAATGGTAAAGTCCGTATACGAGCCAAGTGGCTCATCAGGCCGGAGTTTATCACAGTTTCCGTAGCATGAAGCCACTAGGAGTATTTCGTCTCCTTCCTGGATGAGATGCAATTCCATCACAGGGTTACCCCCCGTATTAAATTCGCCGGTACCCATTTATACGCCTGGGTGGAGAGAGGCACCGTGAGCGTAAAGTGTCTTGCCCAAGAACACAACTTAATGTCCCCCGCCAGGATTCGAACCCGGACCGCTCGCTCCGGAGTCGAGCGCACTAACCACGAGGCCACGGCGCCTCCCACAAGTTGTTTCATAGTACAGGTGCTATCACTGTAGAAGCACGCTTTCCAAAGGATTTACAATTGTACTTAAGAACGGTTCTTAATTGGTGGAGTGAAGTAATCGGCTGGAAGAGTATTTACTTAAGGTGCCTGTTAGATATTTAGGCAAATTTCATAGTAAGCTTTAACATGCAGGAATATTGCCCGAGTCACTCAGCGATTAAAGGGCGATCTCAAGATTCCCACGTGAATGTTTTTTATCTTACTTTTACGAGTAAGCATTTAAAAGCTTTTTATAGCAAAAAGGGCAAAATTAAGGCGATGGTGAGATCGGGTGGCCCTCATAGGTGTTAGGGCTATTTTGGGAAATCAAGGGAAATCTTCGGAAGTCTTCTTGTCAACGTTGACAATTTTTGTAAGCCCTGAGGAAAACGGAGGAGTAATTAAGCCCCCCATCAAAACTAAATGTCCTGTGTCTAAGCCAATCAGAAGTTAATCTTACCTTTCAAGTTATATAAACGTTTCATATATATTTCTTTCAGGTCTATCGAATAAACGTTCAATCGAAGAAAGGTCTATGATTGTTGATGAGTATTACCGTCGATTACTAGAGGAATTCATTAGATCACCAGATTACCTCAAAGCTGGTGTTGTAGCTGCAGTGGTAGTGATCGGTAAAGGACCGTCATGAAACACCAGCTGGAAATGATTCAGTTCAATGTTTGCTTTGAATAGACGCACTTTGGAATAATAACTAGTAGTGTTTGAAACTTTTCGAGTTCATGATGATTATTATCGATTTGTGGTAGCACTAAACTTCCAGGATTATTTTATCTCGAAGAATGAAAGCTGAATATGTGTTTGATTTGTAACATGTGTCAAACAAGTTGCTGTTGCTATTGGCTACGATATAATTTGAACAAGTTGGTCTTAAAACAATAAATCTGCAATCTTGAACTTGCAAGAAGCTGGTAGAAACACACTATCCAGTGAATAAGCAATCATTTTATTACTAAAATTGTCTATATTTTCAATCATTTCATATTAGTTAAATTTGTCCGTACTAGTTGACCTAAAATGATTCTACATTATCAAAGCTACCTATACCTGTTTTATCATGGTAGGGATTGAGTCTTTTACTAAAAAAAAAAACGATTTAATGGAAAACCTTAAAACCATTTTAATTTCAGAAAATTGATCACGTTTCGATAATATCGATGCACCCAAGGATGCAAGCATAGTTAATAGAGGGAATGGTTAAGAAGCCCGGTAAACATTAAAGAAGCAAACAAACAGGCTAAGAGTTATGTTGGAAGGTCCTCGACCCTGCACATCTTTTGTTTTATGATCACTGACTATGTATGAATTACATAATCGCAATGCTTTTATCGTGAGTTGCACGAACACACATAAGCACCTTTTGCATTTTGCCAGGTTTTGTGCCGTGTCAACCCCCAAAATAGCCAGCAAAAACATACAACAAATAAAGAACTTTGCCAGGTTTCATAATCATTCCCTCTATAAACTACGATGCAAGTGACGACACTCCTACTATCAGTTAGCAAAAACTCAAAAGATAAGTCTTTTTCCCCAACGCGACGGTCTTCCCGGGCCGCCATTTAATGTCACACTACGCAAAAGCTTGGGGATTCTAGCAAGCTATATCACAAAATGAAGAACTGTGTCGAGGTTAAACAAAACATCAAGTTCTTAGAGAGTCCTATATCTAATAAAACCAAGCCTCAGAAGAATAGTCGCTCTTTCTGAATTTACTGAAGGTGAAAGTGAATATCTATTCTATTGACTACTTTAGTGTTGTACATTTTTCTTTACATTTTATGTAAAGAAAAATGTACAACACACCAGCCGCTCACAACATATTTTAAATATATGTTGTGAGCGGCTGGTGTGTTGCCTAAACATCTCTCACCGATGATGATGACGTCGACGACGGCGAGGACGATGATGATGATGCTGATGATGATGATGACGACGACGACGACGATGACGACGATGACGACGACGACGACGATGATGATGAAGATGATGATGATGATGATGATGATGAAGACGACAGCTAATTTTTTTAATTTCAGAACACGACAACATCACCTGAAAAGTAGACTGCTGGAAGTCTATTTTTCTCCCGAAATTCAGCGGGCGAGACGCTTTAGTCAAAACAGAGATTGCGACGAGGCATGGACACGGAAAACACAAGAAGAAAACAGCGGTTTATTCCTCGTCTTGCCCCAACCCCTACTCGTCCATACTGTCCTTTTGCGTTCACGACCCTGACAGAAGAGACCAGCTGCCAGCAGTTCACCTGATAAACAGCCGGCAATTGTTAACAATCTGTGCGTGGGCGATAAATTTAAATGTATTCTGTGCCACGCATATTGTTGGCGTGTGCAACACAACATTTACACCAACGCATCAGCGGATACAACTGCTCAGCAATCGGCAGGCGTCTTGTGGAGCATGGACTAACTAACAAACAATATTCCATTTATGTTACGACTCGAAAGAAGACACACTGCTAATGGCTCTAATCCTCAGCTCAGATAGGAATCAGATATAACCCATCAAGCCAATTGTTCTCCGCCAACCAGATATCCTTAACAATGGCCCTTACGTAAACCTAATTATGCATGACGCACAACTTGTGGCTTTTTGGAAAAATGCAGATGGAAGTTTGATTGCTTAGTTTTTGAGATGCCTTTCATAAACGAATTGAACCCTGAGTTAAATATTCAAAAAGACCTAATTCGTGCCAAACTTTTTAGAGGTTCTCAACCTTTAACCGTAAAACGGGCCAAAAATTACCCGAAGACGGAAAAATTAGAAAATTTTAACTGTTAGCCGTAACACAATTTTGTTAACCGTAAAAAAAATTTATCCACGAAACTGAAAGTCTCAAGATCTCTCGTCAAATCGTCAAAACCTTTTTGGGCCTTGTCGTGCGGTTTGGTAGTCGAGACGTAGTAGTGACTATTTTAGTCTTAAACTCTTGCAATAAAACCTTTTTCCATATCCCCGTAAAATCAACCGCGTTAGCCGTGAAAACAAAAAAAGCCAGAATATTAACCGTTAGCAGTAAAAGCCCGGGGCGTACTCCCTTGTATGGGCTATCTAGGCATGTGCGGGCCCAAAGTGTATGGTTTTTCAGCCGTTTTGGTCAGAAAAAGTGGTATCGATTTGGCCATTTTGGTCTTAAATAGGGTATGGTTTTTATACTCTAGTCTTGAAATTTTGCGTATGTTTTTTTAGAAGAAGCCACTTTTTTCATTTTTATCGATAAGACCATAAACAAAAGCCCTTCATAAATTATTTTTAGGGCAACTGTGCCAGCCGCAACGGTCATAAATAGGTTATCGAATTTTTGGTCGTGTCTCATGGGAATTCTTAAGTCATGTTTATAAACGAACCATTTTATTCAGTTTGACTTTACAATGACGTTAAGCAAACGTCGTCATTAATTATTAAACCAAAATGGTTTTAAGTTTTTCATTTTTATCGTAATGTTTTACAGTGGAATTACTTAACAGATCTCTTTTTCTACGAATTGAGTCGAGTCACTTTGCCACTAGTCAGCTAACTGTTATCCAAGTATGGGGAAGGGGACGGGGAAAACGACCTTCCAGTAATTCTTTCGATTTAATTTGTTGGGCAGCACGCAATTAATATAATACAAACATACAACGAGTTGTTTACCAAATTATGTTTTTAGGATAAACGGAAAAAAGCAAAACGGGTTTGATGTTCCTTCTTTTTCCAAGGCGGCAGTTTTTTACAACCAACGAATCAGTCAAACATCACCGCGGTGATCATGTATCTAAAGTAAATTATTGTTTATAGCCGCCGAGATAATGGCAAACCCATAAGGTTGGGTCTGGCTAATTAGTTCTCCAGATCTGCAGTTCATCCTTTGATTTTTTTACATTGTGATATACAGAACTCACTCGTTCAGTTTATGGCTAACAGGGTCGCGATAATCATATATCACATTTCACTTCCAAACGTCTGTTAATTAGTTTTTCCATGCGGCGTTGATGAAGTGATCATGTCCCGTTATATTCATTAGACGCTTGTTGGGTCTGTTTTGACATTGTTTTCCGGTGCCAGAAGATCAACCAGTTGGTCACTACCACGAAGTCTTACTGTTTGTCTCATTGACAAGGTCACCGAAGGCCTCCTTGGTTTCTTTTTCAGCACTACAACTTTAAAAGCGTTCCAAAAGTCTTGTTTAAAGAACGTGTACAACAGAGGGTTGATTGCAGAGCTAAGATACCTGATGATGATAAATGCGTGAGATGCGTGTTCCATATAAGCCAATTCTTCACCATCTATCCATCCAATATAGGCCAGCGAGAAAATTAACCTCAGTGTAAACCAAGGAATCCAACAAATGGCAAAAGCAATCGCCATAGTTAGTAGAATTATCAAGCATTTCTTTTCATTGCTGGCCCTCTTGAAAGCGCGGGGATCCTTTCGATCGAGCGATTTTTTGAAGCGATTTTTGCAAGATACAGCCTTGAACATAATAAAGTAGGCATACAGGATAAACATATAGGGAATTACGAACACAACTACCAGGCTGAATATGTTGTTTCCAGTTTGCAAGTAAAGAGCGCGACGTTCACCATTCCACCACGCCGACCACCAAGAGGCGGGTATTGCCCCCAAGAAAGCGGACCAGAGCCAAACGGTAGATAAAATCTTGACTACTGTTTTCTTGGTCATCAAGAAACGCCCAAAAGGGTTAACCACCGCCAGGTATTTCTCCACAGTAATAGCAGTGATGTGATAAGCGACTGAACAGGAGATCACGTTATGAAAGACCTCCGAGGCACAATAAACGCTATTCATTTTATCCAGTGTTTGATCGTCCAAAGTCGAAAGCACACAGAATAGCGGGATATTTATCAAGCCTGTCATTACGTCGCTCATCGCCAGGCTCAACAAGAGATAGTTTGCCGGTGTTCGCAAACTCCTCAGTTTGCCAAACAGGAGAAATACAAGTCCATTCGTTATCACGATTAAAACAGCGATGGGAACCAGCTGCGTTAATATTTCGTCAGCCTGGTGTTGACCTGAAGGCTCTTCAGATGACGAAGACTTGCTTGTATTGTTCATTGTTGCAAGCTATAGCTTACGATCTTGAGTTACTTTCCGGACTGCAAAAGGCTTCTCGTAGATTTGGAACGAATTCAACTCCCGTTAATTGTTTATCGTTTCATTCAGCAGGGACACACCACTGAAAAAAGCAAGTGATTAAACTGTTTGGTAACAGTGTTCGTGTGTCAAGCCACAGAAAGCATCAAGTTCTAGTAATAATTTCATATATAATTCAACATGTGAGTAAATATATGCATATTAAATATGCTCTGCTACTTACAGGTTCCTCGAGGAAAGAGACTTTAAAAGGGTGCTTAAAATAATGTGTTGCTTGTAAAACAAACTATATTAACGCATACGTGTTAAACTATCTAAATAGCTTTCAGTGAATACGAAAGCCATAAAACAAGACAAACGAAAATGCTTTTAAACAATTCATTGTATCAACAAACTAAGGATCCTAGCACAACTTCGCAATTGTTTTTTCCAAGTGAGTAGGTATTGGTCGGTATTGCGTCCTTTCATTGAGAAATGATTAGTCATTCTGACTCCATCTCTCTAGGCCTCGGGATATTTTTAGCAAATTTTGGCTCGATTAATTGGCGTCGGTGGAGAGCAGCTCATTGAGCAACCACCTGGGGACATCTGGCTGTTAAACTCGTCTTTTTGGTTCCAGAACAACATCTTATTGAAACTTTTTCTTTCTCTTTTTCTCCTTTTCTTAGGTACAAAATACCATGGTAACTGATACTAGTGAAGTAGTGTGTCTACTAAGCTGTTCAGTTATAATCGTTGGTTTTCACTTAAGTGTTCCCAGTTTTCAGATGATATGTAAAACAGTCCGATCGTTCTTCACATTATAATTGTCTTTCACATCATGAATGGGTTTTTGGTTCTTTTGTACTTTTCACTGTTGACTCCAAGTAGGCGCATCTTCCATTATTGGGAAATTAACTTGAGGGAAGTTAATTGTACAAGATGACTGCGGGGCGGAAGACCAAATGAAGATAATGTCCGCTAAATTGGAGTTTTTCTGTCGCGAATTCTTGATGGTTCATGAAACCCGAGATGATTTTGAAATTCTGTCTGAAGATTTAAGTTTTAAAATCGTCTTGAACGGGATTTTAAAAGAACCTCATTTGAAATGGTCATTCTGGTAGTCTCTTGACCCATCGCGCCACCTAGAGAATTAATTTTTCTGCAGTCAAAAGTTCTTTTAATCTACTTCGAATTTATGGTCGCCAGTTTGGAATTTAACGCGTCGTAAGGGAAACGATACCGAATTCTAAGCTAAGTTCCCTCCACTGACTCAAAATTCTGTTTTCGAGAATTACGCAAGTATCCGAAGGGAGATTGTGTCGTTTTGATAACTCAGCTAGCATTAATAAACCAATGCAACAAGCATGTTCTTTTCGATTTCTCAAAGGAGTAATTTATCACGAGAGTTTTAAATGTATGATATTCCTAACGCACATTGTAAACTTACTCCTACTTATGTAGCTTGGTAATAACTTCAGCGATATTGTCGAGTTCAGACTATTACCTCTTTGCTCATAAGTTAGAGTTATAGAATCCAAACTTGTCTATGAATTTTAAACCCTGTTCTGCTAACTTAACTTGCTAATCAGGTTTTAAAAGTTAATCATTGGACTTAGCCGGCATTGGAACAGCTGTTTACGTTCAACAGTCAGCTATTTACTGGAACACGCCATGTCGAGAGGCAGCGAGATTTGAATATGTGATGATAATAATAACAGAAATAACACTTTCTCCCGACATTTGTCTCCGTTAGTCACTTTCCATAGTAAAGTCATGTGACTAACTTCGCATAAAAGAGAGAGGAGAGAGTGAACTTGTTAAATTTGAGACTTTGTGGCCAATAAACCGGCTTCAGATTAGCATAAAACCGCAGTATATTTCAATGGAGGTTTTACGTTTTCTCTTAATAAAGTGCAGAGACAACGAAAATTCTTGTCATTTGTTGACCTTAAGTTCAAAGCACTAGGATTAATGATGCCGCGCTTAATTCCTTATGAGTTCTTTTCTAATCAATGCTAAATTTCATGTGTAATACTTCTGGGAAATTTTCCTTAATATTTTCAAATATGATGATCATGCTAGAATACTACTTTTACACGTTTTCAAATACGAGGACTAGATTGGACTTTATTTTTGTTTCTCGGATGATTTTGTCGAAAATTAAAATCCTAACAGAGACAATTAGCTGAGAGAAGCTCACTGTCAGGGCAGGATTTGGAGTCGGACTTCGAGTTAGGATCTCCAGTCAGGATTTCGAGTCAAGATCTCGGAGCATGACTGTTTTTTGCCAACAGTATAGCACTGTGAAAGCCCTTTGCTCCCTGATGTTTATGTATTTTTTAAACTAATGTAATAAATATATGCATAGTATTGTCTAACTGAAAAATTGAGTCAAACTGCAGGAAAACCAGAGTCAAGGTTAACAGTGAGCAAACCGCATTGGAAGCTAACCACAATGCAAACCATCCGGAGAGTGAGTAAAGGTCCAAGCAACTCATAGTGAAAGCTAAGCGGTCCTCGGCTCGCGACCTTGACTCGAAATCCTGACTCGAATCCCTGACTCGTAGCGCGCTTACCATTTAGCAAAAAAAATTCGGAAATTTCGGTTGAAAGTCAAATGGAACAGCATTTTTCCGGGAAAATCCGTTTGGAAATTGTAGACCACCTCCAGAGGTAGTCCTCTTTTTCCGTCAGGAACGGAACGACGGAAATTTCCTTACTATATCATTTGCTAAATTTTAAAGTTTCCAGTCTTTCATCATCCGAAAACAATTACGAGAAATCGAATTGCAAATAGTAAGCGACATCTCCTTCGGTTGGTTTGCTGATTTTGGAAAAACGCTTACCATTATTCGACGGTCATCCCAACCGCTTCATTCTGACAAATGGTAAGCATCCGTAGTTGGTGACTAGCAATCCTAATTCGTGATCTTAAGTTTTCCTCACTTAAAAAGTGGGTCTGATCCACCATTATGCATCCCTATTATGTGTCTTTCAGACGCATAATTTTAATACTGCCTACCATATTAAAAGTTTCCGTATTTAAATCGATGTATAATTCATCACTTTTAGATGAATTGTTGGTCTACATGTAAAACTACTACCAATATGACCAATAACACTTGAGTTCAAGTTCCCTAAACGTTGAAAACTGGGCGTATACAGATCCTTCACTCACTACCCTTTGTAGCCTGCGTAGGTGGATGTCCTTTAAAGGTTCAAAGAATCATCCCAACGTTAAGATTCGTATTCATAGCTGACTACAAAGATTCATGTCAGCAGGCTTTTTACCAAAATGTTTTGAAAACAAAGCAATTACGATCACAAGAGCAGTACTCTTCAAAAAATGAAGAAATCAATTAAACTTCGCGGCTTTATTTTTGATGTTAGGTCGCGCTAACAAATTGTTTTAATTTGTCTTTTCATTTTCCTCACTCCTCTATCTTAATAAAAAAATTAGAAATATAAAATAGGTGCTCTAGCTACGTTTTATTCAGAATAAGCTCTTGGGAGGTAGCACTGACGTTTGCGACGTCAAATCAGCGGTAAAGAGCTTAACATGGACACAATGTTGGCACCCGCCAAGTGAAGTGAAAATGTTTGAACCCATTGAGCATTTCAGTAATCAGAGGCGTTATATAATTGTTGTTGTTAGCCAAAAAAACTAAGATGTTTACCTGTTGTTTACAGCTTGTGAAAAATTCGTCGATTTAAGGGTTATTTGAAGGTTTCTGCCCCCGGGAAAAATAAACCAACTTACAGGCTCGGAACTGAGGTAGACTCAGCTCCTCTTAAGAGCTATATGTAAAATTGCATATGTCAATCTGTCGCATTGTAAACAAGACCAATGAACAATTGCCCAGAGCTGAGAAATTTGCATTTTTGTCAAACGTATTTAGTATTAAGCAGGTGTGTTCGACAACACAGCTCTTTCTAGCCTTGGAAAACTGATAGAATCTAGTGAATAAATAATCAGTGAAGATCTTGTGATAATCTTTTAATTACCGAATGATTTAGAGTATAGATCTTGGTCAATTCTCGCATCATGGGCTTAACCACCTTTGGCTTAGTTAGGACCTGGAGCTTTGTTGATTTCTCTCAATGGTGAATGTTTGTAATTAGTTTTGTCAACATGTTCCTTCATAAATAAAAAAAGCAATCACCCCTACAAACGGAAATTTGCCTTTTTATCGCAAGTTTTATCTCGAAAGGGAGGTTTCGTTAACTTTTTGATGAAAAGAATGGATAAAATATAGAAGCTAATTGTAAAAGTAGAGTTTGTCCCGTTTATAATCTTTTTTTTTTATTTTTTACACCGTAGAGAATTTCTCTCTTTCCATGTAAAATTTATAATATTGAGCCATTCTGTGTTGAATGCAAATAGTGTAGTCAAGACAAGTTACTGCATTTACTCATTATAAAAGTAACAATAAGAAAAGCTCAAAGAAATAGACAAAGATGTTGAATTTCATGTTTCCTTTTTCATCAGTTGGACATTATAATGGGTCACTTTTAAAATTTCACATCTGCTGCAATTAAGTTGTAGCATATCTCCCCCTCAAGTTGCATGCAATCGGTTTAATCATCTGGTGGCTTTTCGGTTTTCTTTTTCCTGTCCCCTGTGGAATTTTACTATTCGTTGGAGAAATTCCTGTTGAGCGATGCTCAATAACCCGTCTAACTAATGCTCAAACAACCCACTGAATGTTATTTTGATTTTGAATATGATTTCTCGAGGCACTGTGAAAGTAAGGGAGGGTATTCAGTCCCAACTACGTAACACAATGGCGCGGAATCCGGACCATTGGAGTTCCACGTGCTACAACTGTTGGTTATTGACCATTTTTGTTTTTTTTTTTCAAAACTCAAATCTACGAAAATGATGGTAATAATAATAATAATTGCGATAACATAAAATACGAATAACCAAAATATAAATAACGATTAACGAATCAATTAAGATTTAAGGTTTTCAACTCAGTAATTATTTTCATTTTGTCGGATTCAGCTTGGCAAGTTTTAACGCAATCTCAGAAAGTAAACTTAAACTTCAGGAAGAGACTGGAAGAAGCCACGAAACGGAAGATAAACACAGACCAGCGAACAAATCGGCATTGTCAGTTGCGTCAAGACCGAATACCAGACTGCCATTATTCATTACACTGCACGGACGTGATCTTTATCGGTTTTTTTGGGAAAAAAAATTATGACCGTTTGGATTAAAGTTGCTTCGGTAGCTATGGGCAGGGCTATACATATAAACATAAAATTTGCAAATTTGCGAGAAAAAAAAAAAAGATCAAAATAGCGAAATGATGAACACTCATGTAAACCACGGATGCAGAGTTTTCTCAAGCTCCAGTTCCAAAAAGCAGTTTGACCCCGAAATCGGTGCACTATGTACTCGTGTGTACATTTGAGAAATTAGAGTAAAATACTGCGCTAAACTTCAAACCGTGATACGAACGCAGTAAGGGGGTAGCTAGTGACTCGGGGGGCGGGGGNGGGGGGGGGGCATTGGGGTTACGGTTTTACGGTTTTGGTTATCTCTTTCATGCTACAGTTGTAGATAGGCTTTTCAAATTTTGCCTTTAAAACATCCGATGTTTCGCTTATGGTAATTGTTATGGTTTTCGGCTTTCTCCTTTCCTTTTTTAGCATTTGGCTCTTGGGATCAAAAAAGCAATTTTTCGGTTTTGATTATTCCTTTGCCTAGTTCCTAGGTCTCTTTATTTTAACCTAGTAAATCTGTGTAAGTTCACGATGTGAGTCATATAATAGTGGCCTTTTAGATCGGAATTCGAGTGCGACATTGAGGACGAATACGATTTTTGAATTTCAATCCAGCGACGTCTCTAGAGTCCCCATGGCTCATGGGATGAGATGGATATGTGACGTAATAATGTGGAGCCTGCAAACTGGAATTTAAAAGTCGTACGGTCACTCGATCTCGTGCTCGTGCTTAAATCTTAAGTCCCCTTAATAATGCAAATTAACAACGAAAGACATTCCTTGGACCGTCGTTCTGACAACTGATGCTGCAAGCGAGTCCTTATTTCAGCCAGATGTGGTCCAGGTGTGTTTTACTCGAACAGATTGAAACAAATTTCGATCTGGAGATTAGAAACATCTTCTCCATACCTCGAAGTGGAAGGGAATGTTAGTTTCCTTGCTCAAATGAGTTTTTGGCTGGAAATAGGCATTTATAACATGCATTCAATTGCCGTTTTTTTGAAAATAGATAGCAGTCAAGTGGTAAATAGTTAGCTAAAAAGATTTCTTATTACAGTTTTAATCATTCTTTTCGGCGGTTTTTCGGTTTTGAGTGATTTTTACGGCGGTTGATCGGTTGTCAAAGACATTTTGAGTGATTTTTCAGTTTCTAGTAGGCCCCAATGACACCCCCCGCTCACCCTCTTTAGCTACATACTCATTCGGTCAAGCCATGTCAGAGTCTGCCATCATTCACTGGCGAAGGCAAAACATAGCAATAAATTAAATATACCACCCAAACAAGGTTAACAAGTTTATCTGACAGAAAGATTATAACATGAAGAGAAAGAACTCTATTCGTGATTAAATCGCCGCATATAAGATAAACAAGATACCCTCCGATGACGTAAGCTTCCTCCCCGCCCATTCAAAGCAAACAGAAAGCAAATATTATTGTCTTGCAGCTTGACCAGACTATCAGACCCATTAGTAAGAACCAATGAAAATGACAAAAGGAATTCGTGTGATACGTGGCTCTTGTGACGAAGCAAACCGTGACGAAAAAGATCCAACCCCTTAACTGTCTGTGTTAACTGTTCTTCACTAGCTGGACAATTTCAGCCTTCCACGACGGAATCACGGGAAAGAAATGTGTACACAAAACGAAACCCTGTATTCAATGAATTAATTTGTTTGACCTCAAAGAATTCAGACTAAAGTAACATTATTTTGACCAATTACTGTACACAGACGTCTCGCTTGATAGAACTTCATAATCGGCTTCAATATCCTGAAACGCCTATTGCTTTCGTTATGGGTCAGCAAGTATTTGAAACTGTACGTAATTAAACAAAATTAAATCAGAAAAAGCACTTTCTGTTCTTTACCAAATTAGTTTTGTTTTATCGAATTGAAGTATATTGGATCCCAAGATATACTGATTGACAAACGTAAATAAAACATGTCGATGGAGATGAATACGAAAAGTTTCAGACGAAAGTCCCCTGATAACTAAAGATCTAAACCATATAGATAAAATATGTTAACGTGCCAATAATGTAGTTTCACGGATGTCGTCATCCTAGCTGTTTATACGTAGAACCTGCCCAATTCCATTAGTTTTGCGTTTGATAACTACGTCATTTGTGCGTCAATTGCCTGCACTTGCTTACCCTCTAAAATTTTTATCCGAGAGATTTGTTATTGATACTGTAATTAGCTAGTGGGTTAGGATTCAGAGAGCGGATCGTACTCATATCTTCAAATGTTTCGCCCGATTCATTATTTCATTCCAAATTCCTTTCAGCTACTGCGGTTATTATATTGGTGTTATTATTGAATTTTGGATTACCTAATTGAAGTAAACGTTTGTTTGTGTACTGAACCTGTACTATTTTGCGTTTTTTTTTAAGTCTTACTAATTTAAAAAAAGGACTGTTCTCTCAGGGCAGAGTTTCAGACATTCTATGTTTCAAATTGCGGTGATCTTTTCATGAGCATATATTTCGCGGATGGAATCAAGATAACATCAAAGACCAAGAGTTTGGATCTGTTTCCCGTTTTCTCAAATGCATTTCCTCAGCAAATAGCGTTCTTTACCAAAATACTACGTGAAAGATTTTCATAGATCGAGCAGATAGTTTATAACTTTTTTGCACCGAAAGAATACGAATTATATCATGATCCCGATTAGTGGAACACAGCTGAATTTTAAATGGCGAATGAAGGTTCGTATAGCCAATTCCGATTGCCCTCTCGAGATTGCCCGCTATATTTAGCAAGGGAATATCTTCCTGTGTACTAAATGATGATTCCTTTATTAACCAAACTTATTTTGTCACCACGCCAGGAGCTAGCCATCTTGACCTCATGTTTGGTCAATATACTGTTTTTTATATGGAGGTTGCAACGCCCGTGTCTCATAATTCATTATTGTCAAAACAACTTGTTCCATACCTCAACTGGGATGCAGTTTTCTATTGGACGAGAATTTATCATGTGATGTACCTCACAACTTCTCTTCTCCTTTTGGCAACAATTTCACTATTTTCCCAGGCCAACAACAGCTTAAGCGTGATCAGGAAGTGCTCCTTGCCCCCGTGCAACGCACGCAAACAATGAAGGTGTCAGTTAGACAAAAACTCCTTGTTCTTCTTGTGGCTATTGTAGTCATTGATTGCCTATTAAATTCAGGATTGCACTCAAAACATTTGAAGGATTTAAAATTCAAATCAAACTGAGAAGGTTAAATATAAAAGACGGTGTCCTTGTTTAAAAAGAATATCGAAGATAAATTTTGCGTGCATGTCTTAATAATAATCAAGTTGGCCATTTGCTCTCCGCCAGTTCAACGAGCAATAGGAAATTTTGCAGACGGGATCTAGAATGAAGTTAATTACATTAAGCCGTTCGGCGCTTATGGAAATCTAGTCGGTTTTCCATGTCTAATTTTAGACATTAAAAGTAAGAGTATCCACGAGAGTTCGGAAAAAAGAAAACTGCAGGCTTTAAAGGGATTCGAACCAATAACCTCTGCGATACCGGTACATTTCTATACAGACTGAGCTATCACATGGTTTGATTTTACTGTTATTGTTATTATTCATTATTATAACTAAGGCCACTAACCACTTGCTAAGAATCTTGTATCGATGGAGAGCTCTATTTAGAAATAAATAAATAAATAAAATAGCAAAATGCCTGTCATGTCTTTACCTCTTTCTCCGCAGTTCCAATGTATGATCTTTCATGTATTCACTTACAGTTTAGAAAGGAGTTATTCTATTCTGTAGACACTGTCTACAAAATCAAGTGCACAACATTACCTAAATGGTAATGTTCTAAATGCAAGTAGAAAACAAATCTGATTACTTACCCCGGTGGAGGTTTAAAGTGCTCCAATGATTTCCCTTTCGAGTACGATCAATCTTCCGCGATGAGCTAATTCTTCGCTTCTGGTTATGTTCTGCGGGTGATCGGGTGTGATAAGTGCTTTTGTACTTCAAGAGACCCCAATTTGTACTGCGATGAAATACGACAATGTCAGACATATGCAAATAATTAATGATGGCATTGACGTTAAACTTGAAGTGGGAGGTCATAACCATTAAAACGTCCTGTGTCAGTGTGGCTTACCATGCCATCTGCATTTATCAAGGATAGTTTGAATTGCTCAAACTATTTTAAACGAAACTTTTCGTCTGAGATACTCAATAACAATGCTACAGCCTATAGTGTATAGGGCATTGAGCATTTCGCGGGTACTAGCATTGCGCACTCTCGTCACATAATTCCTTGCTTATTTCGTGAATGTATGCACTCGATCGGTTTTATTGAAGTGTGGTTTTTGTCGTCAGACTCAAGCGTGCTTCAGGTCAGAGAATTTAATTATGAATAAAAGTAAAGTGCCCGTTCCAATTTACTGTTGAAAAAACTTTTTTCTTTATTCCACTGGTGTACAGAATGTTCGCGAAGCCGTTTCTCTCGAAAGTTCAACGAGTGGTTGTTTATAAATTTAAATAGATACAGTTGACAGGTGAAATGGGAATTTTCGCCTCCAAGACCAAGGATGACTTATTCAACTAGAAAAAAATGGGACTGTGTACAAATGGTGTATGAAATGTGGCAATAAGTAAAAATAAAATACTATGAGTATCTTAGTGAAAATGAGACTGAGCCAGAAATAATCCCTGTGTACGTCACAAGTCTGGAGGATGCTCAACACAACCAAAAAGGAAGCTAAATTTAGTTTTAAAAACAGTTGAATTTTAAAAAGGATGTCCTTTTTTAATTAATCATGACATTGTCTGATAGAAAAAAGAAAGTTTCTAGAGCTAGGGAAGTAATAAGACACCATTTCCCGGGAAAGTGGCACGATATCACTTCCCAGGTCATATCACCGCAAGAACAACCAGAACGGTCCGAAAATTTTCGAACATGAATGATAAAGCCATTCTAAGGTTTCCGAAATGTTCCGGAGAGTACCGAAGATCACCGGAAGGTAATGTAAATTTACGATGATTTCAGAATATTACTGATGGATATCTTTTTAAAAAAAAAAAATCCGAAATTAGGAAGAGGTACAAAATATTGCTAAGCTTGAAAAACCGAGGCTTCCAAAGTTATGCGAATATCGCCCGGAAGATTTAAATGTGTTTTTTTTTTCTGAGTGAAATTACACCTGTTTTGTTATCTTCCTGAAATAGGTAGTGAGGAAATCATCAAATGGCGAGGGCGTGATATTGTGTTTATTCGCTCATATTTTTTTTATTCGCTCGTATGCCATACGAGTTAAAATCCCATCTTGTGAACGAGCGAGTTTATACTAGTTAGAAAAAATATCGTGCTCATAATATATTATAATATACACTTAACTACTGGTTCAGAGGGAAATTGTTAATCGAGATTCGAGGGAAAACAAAACTAAGTGTTTCTCAAGGGACCAGTAATTAAGAAGTCAAAATAACCTCTGATTGGTGGGAGGGCGGGCAACCATTGCGAAATGATTGCCCGCCGGAGCGACAGTTAGATCTAGCCATTGCCACGTGACCATAAGTCAATCAATAAGAGAGCGCGTTTGATTCGAATAAATTCCAGCTAAATAAGAACCATTTTCATTATCGTTATCGTTATCGTTATCGTTATCGTTTTCCTTTTCGTTTTCCTTTTCCTTTTCATTTTCATTATCATTATCATTATCATTATTGTTATATGAGAAGCAAGATAAATCCTGCGCTTCGTTGCGCGGCCGAGATGAGGCTATCTTGCCGGTTTGGGATTATCAGCTTTATCCCTCGAAAAAGTAGTGTCCTGTATACCATATAGTAAATCCGGCTAAGTTTGTTAAGTCAAGACGGCTGAATATTGACCTTAATATCTTTTTGCATGTTTATAGACCGAGACTACATCGATACCATATCACCGACTAATATCAAGCAGTCTATACTATAATAAATAATGAAAAATAAATGATTGTATTTAAGTGTCAAATGTATTTAGCACTGTTGCGCTAATTGGGAACACTGTAAATAAATAAATAAATAAATAAATAAATAAATAAATAAATAAATATTGCAAATGGAACATAAACTATTAAGATTCCCAACTGGTGGGAGGCTGACCAGTTGGTTATTTACACAACGTGGTCGAGGAGTTGAACTCGGGGCTACCGAGACCAAATCCAGATAGCGGTACGGTAGAGGATTTGACTGGCCAGGAACCTCCAGATTTCAAATCTAGCACCCTAACCCACTCGACCACGCCACCTCCAGTAAATGACCCATTTAAATTGTCAAGACATCTATAGGCCTCTGAAGAAATGTTGTTGCCGAAAAAAAATTTCTTCAACTCTACTGCAAAGCATTGCCTGGATAACGCTATATTTACAAAGGATAATGACGGTCTATTTAGTTTGGGTTTTCTTTAAATGATTTCGCATTGTTGTTTAGTTTCAGCCCTTTTTTTTCTCCAGCTTCTCAGTGGTCCGGAATCCTAAATCCTTGAATCTGCTTGGCTAATAGCGAGCGCTCCAGCGGTCCGGATTTTCCCATCCGGACCCTGAGTTACGGACCGCTCTTAAATTTCCAACTTTGACAACTTTTCATGCTTTTTGTTATACCGTAAAACAAAGCAAAGTGGAAGCATTCAACACTTTGGCAACTTGTCAAGCTATTTTATTACTTTTTCTACCCGAAATGTCAAGTAGAGAAAAAATAAACGCGTTATTTTCCGGCCTTGGTCGGTCTGTAGGGGGAAAAAAACTGTACCCTCGATCTTGAGTAAGGCCCACGGTCGGGCACAGTTTTTCCCAATACGGACCTCCCGGCCGGCAAAAATAACATATATGTATTACTACTCGCCGCAAATACAGCGCCAAAGCGGCCGGGAGCGATGACAGGCGGCGGTGTTCACAGGATAGTAATCAAAATGACAGGATTAACAAGATTTTTTTGCCATTTCCTGCTGTCGTTTTTTTCTGCTATACTCTTCTTAAGTGGAGTTATTATCTTTCGCACGTGAGGATATTGAACACAGCGTTTGACATAGTTAGACCGCAACCACCCAATAAACCATACGTGCTCGTACATCACGTACGTGGCCCCAAACTGTTCCTGATTTGCACTCGAAAACGGCTTCATATGAAGACTTCGAAAGACAGTGCCAACAGTGGCAGCTTTCTGGGCGCACTGCCAAGTTTTCATATCGAAGTCCACTAAGATATCACACAGATAGTAACGAGGAACACCCAGGAAGATTTTTGGCTATCTCTAAAATCGGGAACGGGGAATCGAAGAATCGGAGAACGCAGAACGGGGAACGGGGAACGGGGAACGGGGAACGGGGAACGGGGAACGGGGAACGG